ACAGCCTTGGAAGTTTTGTGCAAAGCACAACAAACAAAAGTCATAAACAGATGGTTTTCTTGGGCCAAACAAGTTTCAAAGTCTGTACCCGAATGGATGAGCCAAACGTCTGTGGCAATCCATTCCTCCAGCTTTTTTTTTTAGAGTTCAAATGTTTTTCTCCTTTACTCAAACCAGGTTTTTTTTAGAATATGAAAATATAAATTACAATCCATGTCAACAAAATGGAGATGCAAAGAAAGGCTGCACATTCTCAATATTTATGAGCAAAAGTTGATCCAAACGCACATTTGATCAGTTGGAATTTTGTTGCTTTGTTCTGTTTACAGGAAGTTGTTTGCAGTAAAACCATGGTGACGACAGAACCAGCAGATATCAAACCGTGTCGAATCTCTTTAAAGTTGTAAACATTTCAAAGTATCCATGCCAATGTAGATGCATATATACATCAGAGAAAGATTATACTGCAGATAAAGGATGTAACGTCATAAATTATCTGAAGAAAACAAACTAAAATGGAAGGTCTAGCATTTTTATGAAAGAATGCAAACAGCTAGGATTTTAGACTAAGATCATCAAATGATGGAATTAGAAACAATCTCGTAATGTCACGGTCATCTTGATGGGTTTGATCCCAAAAGCAAATCAGCTGTCAATGAACAAAAACTTGATTCATGAGATATTTTGCTAACACTACAGACTCATTGAACACACTAGTACTGGGCATAGATTACATTTTTTTTAATCACGGACAATCTCAAGATATGTTTTCAAAATTTATTTTAGAAACAATTACTAGGGCAGAATGTGCACGTTTTTTATGTTGCCACACACTCCATGTGTGACACATTTTTTCTTTAATTGTGTTTTTCTTTTTTATCGTCATTGCTTATTATGTTTTTGCTGACAACTGGGACCTCATCATTATCTTTCGTTCCTCATGCACTCACGTGCACTGACAACAATAACTCCTTGAATCCTCGATTAAACTCATTACATGCACAACATGTAATTATGAATCAAGGATATTTAGAGTATTTTTCAGGTAGTGTTTCAAATATATAAAGGGTTAAATGCATTTTCAAAAACTTTAAACAAATAAAGCAAACCTAACCACTGACCATCCAAACAAAAAGCTGCTTTCTTATTGGCCATCACATATTTTCTAAGTGATTTTGACAACTTTGTTTGTTTTTGTGACAAAAGGCAACGTTTTGTTAAGTAAGTAGAAGGCACAAAAGCTCCGTTGTACAAATATTTGTATTTACTATTTGAGGAATAATCAGAAAGTGAGAGCTTCATAGTTCCTGTCTCTCTGTACGTGCATTCCGCAATGCACAAGTACTATTTACATCAGCAATTAAAAACTCATAAAAAACAGAGGTTCTTTTTATGGAATTATGCAATATTTGTGCAATGTGCTTTTCTCTGTTACGTGCCCACAAACATATCAGACAAAACTTGTGCGTCTAATCTCTTCAGGCGGTTCAAAGAGACGTGCTCTCCAGACTAAGAYTAAATACGAATCCAAGATTCCAGACGTTATTCATTTCCTTAAACCTGAGACCTCTTGATCTTTTGTCCTGCATTATCTCAAGTTTCTGGTACTAAAAAGCACGGAGCTGTGACGTTGTTTTCATAGATTAAAAAGTCAAAAAAAAGTTTTAAAAACTTTGCCTTCAACCAGGTGCTTGTTGCAAATATCAACTGCGTTTATAGAGCTTGAATCTTGAATATATACATTTATTTATGATAAGAAATAGTGCTTCCAAACTGCCTAGCTCAGACTTCTGGTTACTTTTTACAGCCAGTTTTGATGTTCTGAGCTTTAAGGGGGGAGGTGAGGATGAGGGAAAAGACATAGAGATGAAGGGTGAAGGTGTGCAGCAGAAGAAAAAAAAGAGTCAGATAAGGAGCCGGTGCGAGCGAGAGGCAGGATTCTTGCTCAGTGGAGCCAAGAGATGAGGCATTTTTATCAGGCACAGAGGCAGCCTCGCAGTCCCCTCATTGCAGAATGGAGATTGAGAGGTCTGAGGTTGTATGCGCTCATTCTCACCCGTGAACACACGCACACACAGAGACACACTGACAAAGATAAACTTCAAATGCATCCAGACTCACACACGCACAACTTTTCCTGAGCCTGCATCCATCAGTCCCCCCCCCCCCACCCCCCCATCCCCTTTCTTTTTTGGAGCAGATGAAATGTGTGAGACTATCTCACAGTCTAGTCTTATTTCCTCTGATTTTTTTCTTCTTCTGTTTCTCATTATTTTTATTCCAAAAGCTTTGACAGTATACTCCCAATAACATCCACCAAAAACATCCAAGCATCCCCTTCTCTCCTCTGTCTTTCTCTTAAACTTACAAGTCTTTGATGAGAATCCATTCATGGATTTAATGGATTTCTCTAGCCTTTTTTTTTTCAACCAGAATCTGGGAGATGTGTTCAAAAAAAAAAAAAAAAGGAAAAAGCAACTGTGCCTCTTCTTCCAAGAGCAGGGTGGACTGCACAGGACAGCATTTCTGTTGGCATCAAAAGATTGAGAAATTTTTAGCTTACAAAACAGGGCGAACGAGTCAATATGGATCTGAGGCCCGACTGACTTCAGTCCCATGGGTGGGAAAAAAAAAAGTGCAACGACAAAGTGAAAGTTTTCTTTGCTTCATTTGAAGTCAAACTTGGAGACAGATTAGAAAGTACAACAAAGGCAGAGAAAAATAAGATGATAAACCTTTGGTGAGTTTTTTTTTTTAAAGAAGCATGCACTTTCAGCTGACAGAAAAGGATGGGGGAAAAAAATCATTAAATTTTCTTCTAAAAAGTGAAACTAGCACACTGCAGATAGTATCTGTCTGAGTTCAACATACTGCCTCAATGCTTTGAATCTATCTCAGATGGCCAAACAACTGGGGGTCATTTTTCATTTCATACAGAAGGTGCAAGAGAGAAAAAAAGAACTAAAGTGTGTCGAAAAGATAAAATATCTGTCAGCAGATTCACATACCCAGAAGAGGAAATAACAAACAAGTAAATTCTTCCAAATATGGATTACCCAGTATTAAAGACAGTTTTTTTCCCCTGTCAGATTCTCTCGCTGCAGTAACCCTGGTTCTGTGAGCCATATGGAGCCAAAATGGTGCATGGGTGCTTTGGAGGTCCCTGCATTCCAGGGCTAATGCTGTGCAGCTGCCGTGGTATGGTGCCTAATGAAAACTCCCCTCTTTGATGGGTCCTACTGAGGGATAAGTTTCTGATCAACACCACCTTAGGTCAGCTTCCTGCTAAACTGGCTAAAGATTACCGGTGATTGCACAATGATGGGCCCAGTTAGTAAGGTGGTAAAAGGGGGCTAAAAGTACAAAGAAACAAAAAAACAGAAAAATGATGAACTACTGAAGATATAAAGCCCTTTTATTTCTGGCTTGCCAGGACTGCAAAAAATGCAAACACCGATTGGTTTTGCTAAAAAAACAAACAAAAAAAAAAACTAGAGGATTTCTTTTAGAGGTTGMTTTAGTAATGAGCCAAAATTAGGACTGAATATAAATACTTAAAGAATGGACTCAGGTCTGAAAAACAAAGCCCATTACCAAGAGCTTTACACCTGCATTATGCTTTTTGACCAGGAGGGGGCAACTACTCTGGTTATGCTGTGTAATTTATTTAAAAAAAAGTTTAGTGCAAACCTAATTTCTCTTCATGCATTTATTGTCTAATTTGATGTCTTCTTTAGTTCTAGTCGAAAAAATAAAACATGACTCCAAAGTACTATTATCAATGAATACATTGCATTGTTTACTATAGTTTTGTAATTGCTATGCATGCATTTGTTGTGGAGATTATGTTTATATATGACTGAGAATGACAACTTCCTGTTCTTGCATGTGCTATTGGGTGTTTTTGGAGCACAGTTTGTAAATCTAAGGCTAAATCTATGGAGCAATTTGCAAAACAGTTTTTGCAGGCAGGAACAAAAAGTCAAGTATATAAATAAAAAAGTTATTATTTACAGCTACAAATACACCCTAAAGTAAAAAAACAGACCTAATAATTGTATAAATTAAACTTTTGAATGGGTGAATCTTCCAGTACGCAACTGCTATGACTTAAAAACAGACTTTAAAAAGCACATATGGATAAATATTCTGGCTGAATGCAGGAAACATGTAAGAAGGATGAGCAAAAACTTCACAGAACAGATGTTTTCACCCTCAAACAAGAATCTATAGAATGAAACTCAGAATGATTTATGTGAAAGGAGCAAAAAGCAGAACATGGGAACATTTCTGATATCTAAATTACAAACATTTGTCTGTTAGAAAATCCATTCTGAGATAAATCTGTGGCGATCCTGGGTCACGAAGTTTCTGCTCTGTTGATTTAAACCTTGCAGCAAAGAGAAGGCAGCTGCCCCTTGTTTTGTTTCGTTTTCTAATATTTCACTCACATTAACGTTGATTGACATAAATTTCCCACCTACATATGTGCCACTTGTTTGTGTTTATTTTTTATTCCATTCTGTCTCTTTGAACCACGTCTTGGGTTGTTTATGGTAGATCTTGTGTTAACGGCTGTTGCTCTATGTAATTTTATTTTTTTTAATTTTAAAAACACAACTTTGAGAACAGAAATCTTGTCAAAACAACCTTGATTAATGTCATCTTACTCTATTAGTTACAAACTAAATAAAAACAAGTCAGCAAAGCAACGTCTCTATAATTAGCATGGCTGACAGAGATGCTTTGTGGCAATGTTTTTTTGGATCCAGGGCTTTTAAGAACCTTTATCAACAGCTACTTTGCTGCTCTCGTTGATTTCTCGGGTTAAATGAAACAGTTGTTTTTGATTATTTCTAATTAAAGACACAGGTATTAGTCTCAGATTGTGTCAGCCAAGAATTCTTCACCAGCTGTGAACCAATAAAATAAACCAGTGTTCGTCCTCACAGATAATAATAACTTACAACAGCTTATTTTCCCTCACACTTTCTACTAACCTTCTCACGGGAGGAATCCGTCTCTAGGAGATGGCTTCTCTTGAGGTCGTTGATAATTCGCTCCATGTCCGAGCGGAGTCGGTCCAGGGATGCCTCTTTGTCCAGCATGGCTCTTTGCCTCTCTTCCTCCTGAAGCACTGCCATTTCAGCCAGCCTCAGTTTCTGCTGGGCGTGAGCCTGCTGGAGCTCCTCGTGTAGGCTCGACACCTGGGCCTCCAAATCTGAAATACTCTGGACGATACAGAAAGTTGGGGGGAAGAAGATTAGGGACATAGATGCRAGTGATTTTATAACATCAAATCAGCGATGGCTTTTATTTTAAAGGGGCAATATCATGTAAAATCAACTTTTTTGAGTTTTATATCATGTTGTAATGTTATACTCTCATAAAAAAACATGCCCAAAGCCATGCTTTGACTCATTCAGGCAGGTCTGAGAAATCCTGCAGCGTTTTTAGGCAGCCATGCTGAGGAGCAAAACGACAGGTGGGGACCAGAAACACCTCTGGGCTGTGTCTCCAAGGCGAGCTTCCTCATCACGGAGCACACCTCCCTACCCCACACACCCCGCCCATGCAGTAACAAAGCAAACGAGTGAAAGTGAAACTTAAACTATCTGCTTCTCTTAACACCACTTCTCACTCAGTGAAGCTCTTTTCAGATTAAAAATACCTTTGAGGAAATGTATTTTCAGATACCAAGTAAACTGCATCATAGCGCACGCTGTAGGACCCCCACCCCCATGAGCGACCCCTCCTCCGCACTGAAATGGATGGGACAGAAGCGGAAGGTGGTTCTTAAAGAGACTGAGGCCAATTTCAACAAWTTCAAGGCGTTTAGAAGAGGAAGTGATGAGAAGATAAGTTTATTTTCTTTTTAAACATAAAAACAGCATTTTAATAACAGCTAAAGGTGACATAGATACTTTATTATGGTTTAGTATTTAAATACAGTATATGCCTGAGAAACACATAATATTGCCCCTTTAAAACATGCGCGCAGACTTTCAGAGCGTTTAGACATTTTTGCTGGAAGGTTTTGAGCAAAAGGAGACGATCAGATGCAGTGCGAAGGTCTGCCTCCGCCGTTTATCTGTTTGTGCAACATGTGTCCCACTTTCACAAACTCAAGCCTTTCTGCTGTGTTCTGTGTGGATGTGGGTGGTAGCCTTTGCGATGGCCTGACCCGTCTTATTTTCTCTCTCTTTTAACATCGTAGCTTTCTCTGAGGAGCCTTTTAATAGTCCTGCCAGTGAGAGTAAACATGGTAGAAAATGCTAATAAGTACAACTTCGTGGACACTCGGGAGTTTGGGAGATGTCAAGAGGGAAAATAAGCTTWTAGTTTTGTCTAAAACTGAAATAATAAATATTGTTTTGGAAAGAAGAAATGAAGAAAAAGGTCCGTTTTGAATACCAAGGGGAACATGTTTGTTGTTTGACGTGTAGATGGGTGTTTCATACACCCTCACCTGTATTGCATGTATTCCCCAGTTATTGCACATCCTCATTACCTTTCTTTTTTACACTTTGCTTTCCACTGTGAGCTCTGCCTCCTGCCTGCTCCAAAAAGCCTGGGCATCCCAGGACAACAGCATGTTAAAGGCAATCACACAGCAAGTGTCTGAAGTCTCTTTTTAGAGGGGCACTGGGGAGAATCAAAAGGGACTTCAAAGGAGCGTCACAAAAACAGACAGATGCTGCGGCTACGAGTTATAGTCTCGCCTAAAGTGGCACAAACAGACAGACCCACACACGTGCAAGCAAACATGCATGATCTAGTTTGTGGCACGCGCACCAACATAAAAACAGAGATAAATAAATCCCGTCTCGCATCATTAATGGCTCCGCTGCTCCGCTTTCGCCATCAAGGGCAAGCAACTCTTAGATGTGAGTCCTCGAGTCTTTAACATCAACTTCTCTTCCAAAAAAGGCTTTTTAAGAAGTAAAATATAATCTTCCAGAAGAGAGGCATTAGAATTGATACAGAAATCTATAAAATATGAAAGAGAATGCTTCAAGCCATTTAGACAGTTTTTGCTTTAAAAAAACAAGATTTTTAAATAAAATGTTGGGCAAAAAAGACTCAGCTGAAACGCCAATCACTACAAATAATGCATTCAGTTTAAAAAAAATCAAAGTTAAATTACATAAAGCTTTCTTATATTCTGCACATATTTATTTATATTTTATCACAAAACAGTCCAGCTTTTGTGCAAACGGCTTTGCAACAAAAATACATATGCTTTTGTTTTGAAGCAAAGAATCACACTTTAAAATTCTTATCATCAGACATGTAAACATTAGACATAAAGAGAATAATGTTGTTGCTTAATATGGTATGCAATCCTTTCATTATGTACAACACATCATAACTGCCTGTGCAAATGAGCCACATGTGAGAGTTACAGTGACTAAACCTCGTGTGTCAGACAGATAAACATGCATCTGGCTGAAATCCTGCGCCTGATGATGTATGTGCACGATAAATAACTGTGTGCTTTGTAACACGTCACAGAACATCAGCGTTCGCTGATGAAGACGCAAAAATCAAAAAGCAACGAAGTCTTTAAAAGAAAGAATTCACTTCATCGAAACATGTAAAGCACCAAGTTATTGTTTTAGTAATCTAGCAGCAACTATTTTAACTTAATCTGATCAGAAACACCTTTAAAAKCTATTCGTTACTGGGTAACAAAAGGAGATGACAACCCGCAGCGATGAAGACAATTCAAGTCTGTTTTGTCCTTTTAATGCCAGCTTTGACTTTAGTCTGTCATTGCCCTTTTCATTTGACTGAGTTTATTCATGTACTAGAGATTGTAAGACTTTGAAAAACTGACAGCATCATAATTTAGTCCACCAAGACTCAGGGGGAAAAAAAAAACTCACAAAGCTTTCACAATCTCCCATGCTGTTTGAAGTCCAGATGGTGCGTACGTTCCATTAGAAAAGAAATAATTACGCAGGAAAGTCATAGCCATAAAATGAGTTTTGAGGAAGAACAGCTGGAAAAAAAAAAAAAAAACATAAATGAAAGGTTTCTGAGATTCACAAAAACAAAACCTCAAATTAATTAATAAACTGTTGCCACAAAATATAACATTGTATGACCAAAAGCAGACATATAAATACATATTCAAAAARACTTTTCTGGGTTTGTCGATCTGTTCGTTAAATGTTACTAAACTGTGATAACTTAAAAAAAAACAACATTTTTGGGATTGTGGAAAATGTGGAATAGGTTGACACAAACAAACACACACACACACACACACACACACCATTTTAGGTGGTGGATGCTGGAAACAATCGAAGAAACGACTTCGTCCTCTGGGGGGCATTGATCAACCGACAGAACAACACACAACTGGCTGCGGGCGTTTCACCAGCGAGATCGCAGGGTTTCATCGACGAACCACCTGAAACTTCCCTTCACGTTTTGGTATTTTTAACAACAGTGAAGACATTACTTAATCTTCTAAAAATAACCTGATAAGAATTGCGACTTTAACCGAAAAGTTGGCAGCCCAGTAATAAACTGGCCCATAAAACCCAAACGTTTAGGTCTTATTTTAGCTACAAACAAATGAAAGGGAATGACATATTACCATGTGAATGATGTATAAGCCCCAAATTCTCAACAGAAGGGTGATGCAGCCTTTATAATGAGTTACAGCTACACGGTTTATTGAATGACACACTCTGGTGGGACAGAGACAACTGGGTGGGTTTTTTAGCTCTTCCCTGCAGCTGCTGCTACGACTCATCGGCTCTCCTCAAACACAAGTCAGCAGTCGGGAACTCTGTTTATTAGTGTCTCACCGCAACAAGGAGATGAGTAGGTACAATTCGGAATAAAGGAGTGTGTGACTGTTTCCTTGCAAACCTTCCAGATGTAACTGTCCTACTGACTGAAGCAGGAAAAAAAATAAGGCTGTTCAGTTCTTCGACTTGCCAYTCAATAACATCACTGCTTATCTGACCTTCTGGTGAAGTGAAATACTAGACTCTCAACATGAGAAAAATGGCTGAAATACTCAATACTGCTAGCACACATTAAACTGAACTCTTCTTTTCACAACATTTAAGGATCTTTTTTCCCCAAAGCAAGCATGCAAAAAAGATCAATAGGCAAAGCACCACTATCATCCAACTTCCAAGGAAGCAATCTTGCATAGAAAGTCAAACTCACTGACATCCCAACAACTATATTCTCCATCTTTTCAAGGCCTGAAACAGAAATTCAGAACGTCTGACACTAGGGCAGGCGTCAGGATGCTGTTTAAAATGCTGCACAAGCAAATAGAAACTAAGAATATAAACTGAGTGCTTGGGAAGGTTTATTTTTTGTTCCTGTCACCCACCCCCCAGATTGTGAGATTTGTCAAACTGCACGTCATTTTGACACGAGTAGGACGGCACGTTATTAGCACAACTGTCCCGCGGTGACGGCAGCTACGCAAATCACACAGCAGCAGCTGCCACGTTCACTTGCCGTGAAAGACACTCCCCAAACATGCTAGATCAAGGCACATCACAGGGGGACGGAAACATAAAAACATATTTTATAGTTTCCAGTTATACAGACATTCTGGATTGCTTAAAACAAATTGAACACTAAAGAAATATATTAGTGTGTCACTTTAGAGGACTTTAATACATGCGCTGTGAGTTTGTAGGAAAATCAGAAGTGTAAAAGTGGGAGTATTCTGACAACATGGAAATTTCCTACTTTACAAGGAACTTTATATTTTAAACAGTAACAAAAATTAGGACAAAGTAAAGTGAAAAATTTGACAACTTTGTGCCTTTTATATTTAATAACTGCTCTTATGTGTGACATTTGTATTTCTGTTATAAACTGTTCTCAGTACACTTCTTATGCGAATTCTCTACGCCAACTGCACTTTCTTTGCCATTTTTTCTGGTGTGAAACCATGTGTATGCTCATTTATTGGGAGCTTTTTGTCCACAAATACATAATAAAAACTTATGTTTGCCTGAGTCTATCTACAGCAAATGGGCGAGAAAAAAAAAGAAGTCTGCATGCTGACAATTTTCATTTCATCAGAAAGCCTAAAGAGTCAAACACATCCTCAGTTGGGGGCTGATTTGTCAAATAGCTTCCCACAGAGCTCCAGCCCAGCCCAGGTTGGAGAGCGGCAAAGACACAGTGGAAGAGTTAGGCTGAAGTCTTGCTGCTTTGGTTCAATAAAGACAGAAAAACCCTTCAAAGTCTGGGATATCCAATTATTTAGATCCAAATTTCTTGCACTCTTTGTGAACAAAACTGCTGTTATCAGGGAATAACCGGCGGTTTCCAGAAGGAGTTGACTACCTGCGGTGAGAGGACAATGCCCTGAAAAAAAAATCCACTTTGCCAGCAGCGAAGGACGCTTCAACGGATGTTGAAAACAGGAAAATAAAAATAATAAAAACAATGAAATGGAACAAAAGCTTAGTTTTTTTAACTTCTGGTTGACACGAACTCCAGTGGTTTTATGATTTTTAGGTCTTTACTCTGATTTCCAAAAAGTTTGTTGTGGTTAAAAAAAAACTTAAAATTACGAAATTAAAAGGCATCAAACTAACGAAGAAGTTGCGATGAATAAAACTTTTTTGTTTCTTGAAGTCTTTGTGTTTGAAAACCAATGTGTGGCATCATTTTCAAACGCATTTACTCAAACAGATGGAACAACACCCTATTGTCGCCTTCAGCGCTCGACAACCTTTAAAGTTATTCGACACCTGGTGTTGATGTGGGCTTCGTAAGTAAAGTGTCTCAACCTGCTGTGCTTTTGAAACCCGGGGACAGCGTCAACGGGCGAAACACAAAATGGTTGTCCGCGGGAGCGCGGCGGGTCAGGGTCTTGTGTGTATGTGCGAGCGTCGATGTGTCGAGACCCCCTACCTGGGCATCGCGCTTCCTCCACTCCTGTTGGTGCTGTTGGTGCTGCAGCAGGGTGGCCCCGGCCTGTCTCTCCAGGCTGTCCACCTCCCGCTGGTGCTCCTGGACCAGGCTGTCCTTTTCGGCGCTGTGCTGCTGCTGTAGCCGCGTCCTCTCCTGCTCGTGCTGCGCGCGCTGCTCAGCCATCTGATTGGACAAGCGGGCGAAAAAGAGACTCCATCAGCCAACACACACTCGGCGCAAACCCTGTCGTCATGACAACTTGTCCATCCACATCCCTCCTTCGTCCRGTTCCATCCACCCCCACCCCACCAACCAGAACGCCCATGCGCCCAACTCGTTTGCCACATCTCGAAAGAACGTGGGAACAAATCCTAGAAAGTTTCTTCGCCTCCTGATATTTGTCGGGGGGATGACTCGAGCTAAAGTGTTTACACCTGCCTTGCTCCCCCTACTCACCCCGCTCCCCCGCCAGACGAAACYTACAGATTGGCCCTCAATGTCCCATTCTCGCCCTTCATACTTGGCCCATTCAGAGATCGGCGTCTAAAAGGAGCAGCTAGTTTCTGCTGTGCAAGAAAGCTGGCAGGGGTTAGCCATCTGGTCGCAGTAACGACCCAATGCCCCATGCTATGCGCCTGACAGCATGTGAAAATCGGCTTAAGCGCTGAATATGACGATTATTATAACCCTCATCAGAAAAAACAAGCTTAAGAGGGAGGCGAGGGCAGCAACTTTGAAGAGATGTTTAACATTTTTTCGACAGAGTTTTTTACTTTTATTAGAGCCTCTGAATTAATCTTTACATCAATATCAGCCTCCTCGCTTTCAAAGTTCTAAAGAAAATGCTTGTGAGGCGATTAGCAGGCTGCGATCTTTAGGGATTACACTGCTGAAGACCTGAATCTAAAGTCGAAGTTTYGTAAAGATCTGTGTAAATATTACAACAGGAAGGCTCTGTGAAAACATTGACTCAGAAGACTTACGTCGGACAACTCCACAGATCACAATACAGTAGAGGAACAGAGAAAACACTTCTAATGGGACAAAAACGCTCCAAAATGTCAAGGCCTAATCATCCTGTCAGCTGAAACAAGTCTGTTCACCCGCCCAGCTGTGGGCAGAGTCACCTGCTGAGAGGTGAGTCTGGCCGCTAAAGCTCCCACAGCCGAGCTCCCAAGCCTTTCCCAGGCTCCGTTCTGTTCAAACTCTCTCATGGTGGACGGTGGGGGGTGGGGTTGGGGGGACACGACCCCCGCATCCTCCAAATGCACAAACCCAGCCTGAGCCTTGAAAGGACAGCAGGAGCCTGGGGCCCGCTCGCCTCCCTGCTTTGAAGCTAATCCTTGTACATTGTCCATGACGGCACCCAACCTGGCCGGCCGCAGAGCCAGAGCTGGACAGCCTCTGTGCTCGACGTGGGCTCTGTCTGTGGTGCTATCAGCTAATGTCGCGTGCTATTCAGAACAGGTGATGAATGAGGGGCTAGCTACGGGAAGCAAGAAGGAACAAGGCTACAATAAACACTTACTCCTCCACAACTTTCATATAGTTTTGCCAAGTGTCTTTAAAAAGAGATGACAATAGGATGTACAAATGGATTAAAATATATTTTAGCCCATAGACTTAAAAATAAAGTAGGTGAAAAAGCAGAACCAGCAAAAAGCCTGCCCATGACATCACACGGTGCACATGCAGCGCAGGATGCTGCGGTTTTTAAAAAGGACCAGCGTGGATATTATGAGGGAAGACTGAGTCAGTTAAGAGCACAGTTTGGTGCCTCGAACACAGTGTGAATGTACTGCATGAATTAAAGCAAAAATAATGAGGTAATGGGCTTCTTTCAGTGCTGAGGGGGGATATCTGACATTTTTGGGATGGAGGAGGAGGGAAGAGGAGGMCTGTCTGGTCGCAGCAGGGAAGGCTGGAAGGCATGAAAGAGAGGAAAAAATTGTAAAAAGGCAGACAGTCCCCCCCCCGTATTGTTGGTTTGACTAGGCTAACTTGAGTGTCACCGAGTATTGATAGATGAGCACCTTTATCTACATGTCTAAAAGTTAGACTCCATTCTAATTTAGTTCCTTTAAGTGTTAAATGACTTACAGCATCACCGAACCTGCCTCTGAGGGAATGTTTACATTTTTTTAATGGACTAACTTGACCTCTGAAGCCTTATGGCATCAATCTCTATGGTAGTGGTGTCCAGATACCGATACTGGTATTGTTATTGAGCCCGATTTTCCTAAGTACTAATGCTCGGTCCAACTGCACTGATACCCAGAACCTACTGTTGTCAATACCAGATTTGATACTCATCTGAAAGTGTGACAGCTTGCATTTTACATGAAATGTTTGTCCGTTCCATGTTTAGAAAACTTAAGTTGAAAGAAAATCTTATTTTAAAATGTTTCAACAGTAAATATCATGCTGTTCACTGGATTTCTATAAGSAAGGAGAGGCACCTTGTGCTAAATAACCAAAATGTGTCTTTAAAATTGTGTACTGCTTAGGTTCTAACGCAGTAAGTTGGTATCGGCAGAGGTCTATAAAGTACTTGAAAAAAATTAAGTAAAAGTAAAATTACATGATCWGAAAATGACTTTGGTAAAAATAAATTTCACTGATGAGAAAACTACTCGAGTGAAAGTCATAAAACTGTTCATAATAAGTGGGAAAGTAAAAGTACTTTTACACACTCTAAGAAATAAACTGTTGAATTTATTTTTTAGAGTGCATGAACATCTTCTTTCATGGTGAGTTTGAACATATTTAATTTTGTAAAGAGTAACTAGGTGTTAAATTTTAAAGTAAAGAAGAAAAAGTATCACTTTTAGCTTTAAAATGTAATGAAAGAAAAGTAAAAGCAGCTATTTAAAAAAATTAGTAAAATTACAAATCCTCAAAAAACTCCTTAAGTACTGTAATGAAGTAAATGTACTTAGTTACTATAAACCTCTGGGTATRAGTACTCAGTATTAGTAAGTAAACAAACTGAAGTACTTGTACTTGGTTTGAGAAACACTGGCAACGATAAKGTAACTATYCYGCAGAGATAAAGGTTTGAAAAATCAGTTCAATCTGATGAGTTTACCACAGCACATTGAACACAGAGTCAAACCAAAACCGTAYTTCTCATGAAGGATAAAGCTTCTTCCTGTGTGTGCAAATGCTTTCGTCCAGCTAYATTTCTCAGCTTTCATACCAAGATCATAAAGAGAGATATACAGTTTTGACTTTATGGGTTTTTATCTTCAGAAGAAAAACATTCCTGATGTGTCGTTCACACTGACCAAGTTTCCATCCAGTTGTATTGCAAATTTTGCGTGAACATTTAAAAAGTCGCAAAAAAAGAAAYACAAAAAAGTAARYTGAATRAGACGTGTTTCCATTAACTGGTCTGAAGTGAATCAACCAGGCTACACAAGCGTAATTTCATCCGATGTTGATGCTACACACTGTAYTAAACAGAAAGTAGAGGCTGAAACTTGCAGAGACCACACATCTCAGGACAATGGAGAGGAGTTTCAGGAACATGGTGCTATCAGGAAAGTTCTAATTGTTGTCAGATCAACTAGRATTGGTGAAACATCACCAATACTAGTTGGCGGACACGATGTCTGGAGACGTAAAAAAGAAATGCAACTCTCTTTGGGTAATGGGAATATCTGGGAAGATGCAGACAGCGGGAACAGCTGATCAGTCATGTAAGGTTATTGGAAAATCCAAATCACCTCAACTGAGCGAAAAATGGTTTTTGCGATATTGATGTTTTTTTTTCTTCAAATTTTGCCGTTTCGATCAATCTTTTCCAGTGCACTACTTCAAAATGCGCATAAAAATATTGTGGAAACACGGCTACAGTGTGGCTTTCTTTACTTGTCAACTTCATCATCACCTGAATGCTTCTTGGAAATCTTTAATTGCTTACCTGTTTTTCCACTGAGAATAGAATAAATTATCTCTCAGCTTGAACTCAAAACACCGATAATTCTTCACATTTACTGAATCATTACAAGTGATAAAAAAGTCCTTCTGGTGGTAAAACAAAAAAGTGTTTGATTTATATGACAGTGGAGAAGGAATATAATTGCCATTGATTTTTTTTGTTACATTTTTTCCAGTTATACCCCAAGAAAAACAATATTTTCAAACAACAGCACAGCCTTGTTGCAAATCAATGAGAGAACGGTTCCTCTGGCTCCATATCCTCCATTCCCATCAATCTACAGCAAATTACATGCAACGTGAACTCCATCTGACTAGAAAATGAGCGTTAGCATGCTTATTAACACACAGGTTGAGTGCCAGTTTGATGGTTGGGAAGCAATCACGTTGTGGACACACATGGGAAATAGAGATGTTACAGCAGTTATTGCTGCACGCTCCCTCCGGCTCATGTTTTTCCACAAGATCACACCATATACACAACCAGAGGGCAATACAACCCCTTACCACCATTCCTATAGGCAGAATTTAAAGCACAATTACACAAATAGGTTTAATCTGATGGAACAATTTGAAAAAATGTTTTAGAACAAGGTGGAAATAGTCACTATAAAATGTTGCATGATTATGACAATTTATTTTTTTCAACAAATGTTACTTAAAATCTGCAATAACCTTCAGAAAAATCTTCAGTTTTAATTTGTGTTTTGTATGCTAAACACATAACTAATTCTTGAAGTCTGTTGAAATACTACAGATTTAATCTATTCTAACTGGATTTTATAATAAAATCAGCTGCCTCCAATAATAACCGTTGCCCAGGTTTAATTAAAATAAGTGTCGCTCTGTCAGTGAGATTCATTTCAGTAACAGATATCTTGACTTTTAATTGAAGAGGAGCAGCAGAGATGAAATGATTCGTGAACTTTGCTGCTTCTATGAAGACTGCATTAGTTTCCAATTGGCGTGTTAAAGATACTTATTGAGTTGGAATCTAAGCGTAATCTAAAGCGTGTCCCTTATCATGAGATATTAACCAGGCGGAACAGATGGAAACAAATAACAAGGCTTTTCCAAATGGATGTGAGCTCCGATGAGCTGAGCGTTCACAGATCATATATGTGAAGATGATGATGATGGATGCAAGAACAGACTTATTTCCTCTGCCTGCACGATGATTTTTAAAAACAAGCGTTCACAGGCAGGAGGAGAGAGAAGAACAGAAAGTTACAGCCTCATACAGACCTGCTGCTCGTATTTCTGTCTTAAAGCATCAAGTTGCTGAGAGAACTCTTTAGCCTGGTTTTCCCTGAGGGTTTTGGAGCGGCTCAGGTCCTCCTCGACCTTCGCCATCTGGAGTAAAGAACAAGAGAAAACTCATTTTAAAAAGGTTTTGATCACTAAACTGCTGGGGTCACATGGATGCTTTTATGTTGCTGCAACAAATATGTTTCAAACTGTACAGTTTGAGAAAGTCAAAAAATTCAACTCATTACGTGAGCTGGTGTGTCCAACTTTACAAATATGATTTGCTACAAATTTAAGACATGCTGGAAAGATATTTTTAAATTAAAAGCGAAAACTAAAACACATGTCACATTTCACCTTCATGTCGAACAAACAGACYTTAAGGAAGTAGACCACAACATCACAGAATTTTTAGAATGGCCACTATTATTCCCATCAGAAAAAATACCAAGAAAACTGTAACATGTATAAAAAATAAAATGTTACAGTTATTGGTGAAAAACAAATAAAAACCTCATGTTTGCCTTTTTAACTTAAAGGAATAGTTCAGATATTTKGAAATGATGTTCTGTGAAAAGGTTATAAACAATATCTTACCTGTTGRAGACAGCACGGAGAGATTGGAGAAACAGAGTTTATATCGGACCAGAATGATATGATTATTTGATTCAATTCAATTCAATTCAAGTTCAATAAAACTTTACTGATCCCAGAGGGAAATTAGATGTTGTAACTCATTTAATTAAAGAGTTGTTATGAGCTAACAGCTAGTCAGAGCAGGGTCATTTTTAAATTGAATTGCTATCATGTTAATACAACTCCAATGCATTTTCACAGCAGTTCATGCAAATACAGTTGAATAATTTGTTACATTGTTATGAATTTTACATTACACACTTTAACAGAAACCTAAAATTTATGTCCWAAGTTCCACTTTCTTTGCTGCTYTTTGTGTTTGCAAATAACCAAGTTACAATATGAAATTTACAGCAACTGAAAGTTTATAAAAAAAAATCACATAAACGACTCTGACATTTTTAAATGTGGAGTTGTTCAGGACAGAAGCTCAGACTAGCTGTTAGCTCATCCGTCTGGTCTGAAATACATCTACAACAGGTAAGATATTAACTCTTACACAGAATCTTACTTCAAACCATTTGAACTATTGCTTTAACTTTAACACAGCCATTTTTTAAAGATTTTGTTCATGTGATAAAAATCAACAGAAACTGTCTTTTACTAAAACATCTGTATCTCAGCTTTGCTTTTAGGAAAACTTGTAAAAAGCCTAATTTATTTTATTAATCCACTTTAAACCCTAAAGTCGACTTTGAATTAAACATGCAACATGGATTTAATTCAGTTTGATGCTTCTTTTTAAAAAATAAATAAATAATAAGGCCTTTTTTTTCTTCATGTGGTCAGAAAGTGAGGAAGCTGCGTTTTAAAAAGAGAAAAAAAGGAAAGACAGAAAGAGAACGAGCGATTCAGATAATCCATTTAGATATCACACCATCTGTAGAAAGACAGACTGAGAAGACGATGAAAGGAATGATGGGAGGATGAGAAAAGAGGGTAAAAACTTCTTTTGAAGTACTTTCTACAACATTAAAGCCGTAGAAAGAGGATGTGATGCAGAAGCAGGGTGGGGAGGAGAGGCAGAGGAACGCGAAAGAGGGAGAGAAGATGACAGGGATGCAGAAGAGACTGCTCCCCTCTCTCCCACGGCTTTGATGTGGGCTGAGGATAAAGTCAGATTGAAGATCAGAATGCCAGGGGCTCACTGGGAAAAGAAGGAGGAAAGCTAGGGGATGGAAGGATGAGAGCAGCATAAAGAGAGGAGAGAAAAAATGTATTCAAGAGGGGAAAAAAAACTCTTCTAGTGCAAATATTTAAAAATATTCATATTGAGGCTATCAAAAAATGTATCCTTCGGACATTGCTTTATTTTCGTATGGAGGTCAGATGTTTTAAAACTTTAATATGAACTCATACYTTCATTTTTAGGGTACATGTGTACCTCATGTAATCCATTTTTTATGTAAAATGTCAAACATTAAAAAAATAAATCTCTGTGAATAAACTTGACTCCTACGCAAACGCCCGCAGACATACTGATTAGGTGAAAAACTTTATTAATGTAAACTAAAAACATGCAAATTTCTACAACACGCAGCCCGTTAAGACATTTAGGACCACACGCAGCGCAGCCTTGTCAATAGAGAGCACACAGAGCATCACTAGGCTTGCTTAACAGGAGAAGAGAAAAAAAAACGCCTGTAGCTAAACCGACTTATAGGACGGCATCAGAAGTTTACAGCTGAGTGTGAATTGATTGGAAAACTCCTCCAATGAGCAGCAGCCCACGCAGCTCAGAGTGCTGATCGTAAGGCAGGGCTGATGGACTAATTAGTCTGGCTGCTCACTGAGRGCGACCCGTTCTCTGTTGGAACCCGACCCGCCTGTGTCGTGCCCACTCAAAACCACTGAGGTTGGGCCGAGTTAGCAAAGGAATTAATGTTTAATGAGCACGATTATATTTCATTTCATTTATTCAGACGTGCCAAATAAGTGCAAATTGCCTGAGGGCAATAATGTTCTTGGCTCTAACATATAGATTTTTTTTTCTTGTGCTGGAGCAGTTAAAAAATGCATGAATTTGACTGAAGTTACTACAAAACTGTGAGTAAAAGATAAGATCTGCTCTGGAACTCAACAGGGAGCCAAAACAATAAGCAAAACAAAATGTTTGAGCTGCATATAAGTGATTCAAACAAGGTCAATGTTTGTTAAAGTCCTGACCTGCCTCTACTATTTGTATTATTAAAGGATATAATTGGAAGTAGACAAAAACTTGTATGTACAAAATGTATTTAGAGTTACATATTTTATAACTTATTCATAATAAAACATTTACAATAAAAAGGTTTTCCATTTCCATTTTCTCTCAAACAGAACCACATGAGGGTGTCATCTTATTGTTACTGAATATTTGACCCCAAATTAAAAAATCCAACTAAAGAAGAATTACACTATATTGTTTAGAAATCAGATTAAAGGTTTTTAGAGRGAATCAAAACATAAATGTGAACTAGATTTCAACAAGTAGGCAGCTGAACTTAATTTAGCTGTTTGTTCAAAGGGATAACTGGAACAAAAAAATGAGAATGGAGTTGTTTTGAGGGTTAAAAACAATTTACTTTGAACAACAGACAGGAARCTATCCACACAGAAAATCCAAGTCTTCATTTTCTACTAAATGACATCATTTCTGCAGACCTCACATGGATTTAAAACAGGTAACCTGAGTGTTCCTCACATGTCGAGGAACCGGTGTATCTCTAGATGTAATCAAAGATTTTTGTTCTTGGTTACCCCAGTGCTTTCCAATGTGGAAATCTGTTTATTTTAAGCGTGTGTGTGTGTGTGTGTGTGTGTGTGTAGGTGTGTGTGTGTGTGTGTGTGTATGTCAGACCTGGAGTTTCATGTCAGCGTAGGTCTTCTCAGAGCTGAGCTGCACCTGCTTCTTGAATTGCTCCAGAGCCAAATCAGCCTGCTGGATCTGCTGCCTCTGACTCTCCCTGGCTTTGTCCAACTGGCTCTCCATCTCCCTTCAAACAAACCAACACACACAGCTATAAGAAGTCGCAAAAAATATTATTAAAAAAAGAGAAAGTAATATTTGATTTTTGATATTGAAACTTGTAAGAAGCATGATGTCTTCACTTGTCTGACTGTCTCCTTATCATTATAGGAAACACAGTATAAAATCCTAATTATACAGTTTTTAACTTGCAAACTAAAACATTAATTCCCACAACTTTATTCCTCTATGTGGGCAATGTGGAAAATAAAGAAAACAAGTGTGAAGTGAAGGACATAAACTCTGCACAGACACAACCGGTGACTACAACTACACAACAGAAGGTTARATGACWTARAAAGTAAAWAAATAAATAAAGCCACATGTCAGTAGGAAAATAAACAAGCTTCATGTAGTCATGATGCTATTTGTCAGTGTTTATTGTATAAAAAACAATGTACGTGCCTCCCTTTACAACATAAATGACTGATTATTTATAATTCTATTGCTTTCTGTGT